CCGCCCCGCCCCGCCCCGGGCCTCGGTTTACTGGGCTGTCCCCGGGACCCGGCACAGAGCTGGCACTACCCGCCCCAGCCACCGGTGTCCCAGAGGACCGGGCCACTGTGCCCATTTTATAGGTGAGATACAAGGTCTCGGTGAAGGGCAGGGGCTGGCCCTGGGTCACCCCATGTCCCAACTAGGAAATTCTTGGGGTCCCGGGATTTTCTCTCTGAATGGCCCTTCTCTAAAGCATTGTAAAGAGCTGCTGGGACAAGGCCACTAATTGTCATCCACCTTTTCTCCACTGCCCCTCCACGCCCCAGGTGTCTCGGGACCGGTTGGGGAAGGGGTGACCCCCCTGGGGGTTCAGGAGTCACCCTCGCCACCAGGAAACATCGAGGCCAAGACAAGCCCGGCACCCTGAAAGCTTCGAAGGAGGCCTGTCCACCCATAGGGCTAGGGACCACCCGCCCAGACACCCTGGTGGCCGGCATCCAAAGGACATGGCTTTGAGTCCAGAGACCCGGGGAGGACCCCATGTTCCAGCCAGGGGACTTCACTGAGCCCCCCAATCCTCATCTGCAAATGGAAACAGTCACACCCAAGCCAGACTGTGGCGGTAAGGCACAGCGTGACAGCTTGGCACCTGGCCGCGGGCCACCTGCAGGCAGTGGGACTCACCCAGGTGGCAGAAGCGGCCGTAGAGCCCCGGGTCGCAGAGGCAGGCCCCGTAGACGCGGTGGCAGCGGCCCCGGTTGGCGCAGTGGCACTTCTTGCGGCAATGCTTGCCGTAGAAACCCTTGGGGCAGCCTGGGGGACGTCGGGGCCTCGTGAGTGCCCACCCGGACACGGCCCCCTGGCCCGAGGAGACGCTCCGAGGGCCCCGGCACCAGCGCAGGAGCCGAGAGTGGCTGTCGGGGCATGGCCTGAGGTCTTTGGGGTCACAGCAGCCTAAGGACACTGCATCCCAGACGGGGAGGGACCCAGGGGGTGGGTGAGGGTATCGCGAGGTCAAGGCAGTCACGAGATGGGCCCCACGATGGCCACCTGCCCTGGCTGGCCTGTCTCCCAAGGGCCAGTGGCCCAGGAGGGAGGCCAAGCACAGAGCACATGGGGGACACGCACGAAAGACCTCAGCCCCATGCCCTGTGTCCAACCTATGTCTTCAGCGTCCTGACTTCTGTCCGTCAGTGGTCACCTGGCCTGACCTCCAGACCTCGAAGAGGGAAGTCACATGGCCTCAGCTGGCCAAGGTCCAGGGTCCCAACTGAGCAATGGCTCTGACTTCCCTGCCCAGAGCGCTCCCCCTCGAAACCCCGCCCCACCCACCGCGCTCACAGGCCACCCAAGCACTGCGGACGGCCGCTGACGACTGCCGTCGCTGGCTAAAGTGGGGAGTTCTCGATACACTAGCTATTTCTCCAGCAAGACAGACAGACTTTAAAGGTCTGAAGACCGAAAGACGAAGCATCAGTCACCTGAGAAAGTTACCTACACGGATTCTCGAATTCCTCCAGAAACGCTGACACTTCAGAATCAGAAAGGACGTTAGTGTCGTCCCGTGCAGTCACGGGCCCGGGAGTGATCCCTTCTGCAAATCCCACCCGCCCATTATACAGCGCTCCTGGAATGCTTCCAGGAGCGGGGAGCTCACTACCTGACAGGAAAACCCATTCCAAAAGTGCTGCTTTTCTGTCAGGTCTTCACCTTCTGCTACCACTTAGGCCCCAGGAAAAGCAGAAAACTTGAAAGTCAGTGCCTCCCCCGAGTCCCTGCCTCCCCGCCCTCGGGGAAGGAAGACAGACAGAGGGGGCGCTGCTGAGAGGCGGTGCCCCCGTCCGCTCCAGAGGCACTCCCAGGGGCACCCACCGTCCTCGCAGTGGGCCCCGCCGACACCCGGAGGGCAGCGGCAGGTCCCCGTCACGGGGTCGCAAGTGCCACCATTCTGACAGCTGCAGGAGGAGCTGCAGTTCTTCCCGAAGGTGTGCGGAGGGTGGAGCTGCAGGGGGTGACAGGGAAGCACAGGGAAGCACAGGGTCACTGGCCACAAAAGGACTCTGGGCCCAGAAGCCCCTCCATGAACACTGAGATAGCTTCCCGGCCAGAAGCAGCTGCCCAGAGCAGCGAACAGGACACTCAGGCTGCCGCCCCTCGTCACTGCCCACAGGCGGGGCGGGAAAGGGATCGCCACGTCCTCTCCCTCTGAACCCCACCCTCCCCACCAGCCCCTTCGACAGGCAGACAGACGGTCAGAGTCACCGCGGCCGAGACCACACCACCAGGGCCAGCCCTGCTCTGGGGCCATGGGCCTGGGCAGCCGTTTTCAAACGCCCTCCAGCCACCGACGTGCCGTGCGGCCTGGGGACACCACGCTCCCACCTGGGGCGTGGCACGACTGGCCCACCCACTAGCCTCTCCTCCTCGGACACCCCTCGTTGTCTCAGCTGGACCCCCGTCTGACGTCTGTGACAGGCAGACGCCGGGCCCTGCTCCTTCCCCGGGCCTCCCAGCACCTGCGACAGTGCCTGGCAGAGCGGGTGGTCAGGAGATACTAAAGCAATGAGTGAACGGATGGCCCCGTGAGGACCCCCGCCCGGGGCTAGCGAGGAGGAGGAAGTGGGGGCGTCCAGCGGCCCCGGGGCAGCGGCCTCACTCTCGTTGCAGACGAGGCCGGTCCAGCCCTCGGGGCAGTGGCAGCCGTCCAGGCCCGGGAGGCAGGCCCCTCCGTTGCTGCAGTCATCACAGGTCAAGCTGCAGTCTGGGCCGAAGGAGTCATCCAGGCAGACTGGGGGCGGACGGAGAGGGGCCTCAGGTCCCGCCCGGCTCGGGTGCTCGGGGGCCCGCTCTGGCCACGGGCCCGAGGCAGGCACGAAGGCGCCCTCTGCCCGCGAAAGGCCCCATGGGCAAGGTGGGAGGAGGGAGCCGGGAGCCGGGGCCCAGGGCAGCCCAGGCCGAGGCCTGGACGCCCTGTGCAAACCGAGCTGGTGGCTGAACCTCTTGGCCTGTGCCAACGAGACCACTGCAGGGCCCTTCCTCACGCCCCAGACCGAAGGGTTGCCCGAGGAGGCCGAAGCCCGGCCGGCCCGACCGCCTCTCACCGAACTTCTCGGCCAGCGTGTGCTCGCCACGGGCCTCCACCGCCTCCTCGGCCCCGGCGGAGTCGTCCTGGAAGGTGGGGGGCAGCTCGTCCCGCAGCACTGTGACGTGGGGGAGCGGGCCGTCCAGGTCCAGCTCGGCCGTGTCCAGGGCTGGGCGGCACACAAAGGCCCCTTAGCCCCTGCCATTCACCCGTCCTTATCCCGCAGCACTGTGACGTGGGGGAGCGGGCCATCCAGGTCCAGCTCGGCCGTGTCCAGGGCTGGGCGGCACACAAAGGCCCCTTAGCCCCTGCCACTCATCCTTAGATGCCTCCTCCGCCCCTCGGTGCCCAGGGCCAGCTGAGGGCCCCCCACCCCCGGAGCCGCCACCTGCAGCCCCTCCTCACCCGGTCTTTGGGGAGGGAGGCTGGTCCCAGCTGCTCTCCTGAGCCTACTTCTCAGGGCAGGCAAGACCCCGAGCCCCAAGGATCCCCAGGCTCCCGCCCTGGCCCTAGGGACCCTGAGCATGGGGGGCGGGGACGGGAGCAGCCCCTGCCCCCCTGGACGCTGTCCTCAGCCCCAGGGGTATGTCCCTTCTCTCACTGGGCAGACCAGCAGCTGGACCACTCTACCCGCCCTGGGGATGCCTGTCTGACCAGCCCCTGACTCCACCCTGCTGCCCCGGCCAGTCCCGCAGCGGGAGGCTGGGCTGAGGTGACGTCCACCCTGCCCGGAAAGTGGGTACTGAGAAGTCAGGGGCATGGCGCTCCGGGCAGCGGCCCCCGGGGTGACAGACTCACGGATGCAGCCCCTGCGGTCCTCATCCAGCTGGAAGCCGGCCTCACACGAGCAGCGAAAGGAGCCGGCCAGGTTGGCACAGTGGTGCTCACAGCCACCGCGGCCGGACGCGCATTCGTCCACGTCTGCGGGCAAACCAGGGCTGCTGGGGCCCATCCTCCGGGGTGGGGGACGCGGGAGGCCCCTAGTGCCCAGCTATGCCCAGAGGCCCAGGGGCCATGCTACTGGGTGACGCCCCTGCTGCAGCCATCCTCCCCCCCAGGGTCGGAGTGACAGCGGACACCCTGCCCGCGGGAGGCCAGGCTGGAAGCAGCCAGGGGTGCAGACCTCACTCTGTGAGAGAGGTCAGGGACCACAGGCCGGGCAGTGAGCAGACCGGGCCGGACAGCCGTGCGGACAGCCGACGCTCAGAAGCAGGGCACAGGCAGGGCGAGCCGCCCCCTGGCCCCTGCCTGGGTGGCCCCTGCCCTCCCCGGCCGGCCGGCTCACCTTCACACCCGCAGCCGTCGGCGCTGAGTCGGTAGCCGGCGTAGCAGCTGCACTCGTACCCGCCAGGGCTGTCACTGCAAGCCTGCTGGCAGCACGGCGCATCGGCACAGTCGTCGGTGTCTGAGGGCACGCACAGGAGCCGGGCTGGCATTGGTGCCGCCTGCGTGCACGCCCCTGCCACGCCCACCAGTGCACGCACGCCCCCACGCAGATGCACCATCGTGTGCACAGCCACACACAATCCACAGGCACCACGTGCATGCCTGGTCCTGTCCACACATGTCACAGCCTCAGGGCCCCCCTGCCTGTTGTGGGCTCCGAACCGGGGGCAGGGGGTTGGCAAGGGCCAAGGAGGGGTGGGGCCAGGGGTGGGGGGCAGGGATGCCATCTTGGGGGCCGGGTCTCCCCGTGGGGTGGGTGCCCTCGCACACCACAGAGATTTGAGTTTCTCCAGCACAGGGAATTTAACCAAGTGACCAAGCTGAGCTGAAGGGGGTCTGATGGGGCCAGCAGAGTGGGGGCTCAGTGGGGTCACGTGTTGCCTCTCACTGGGGCCCCCTCTGGCTGCCCTCCCCCGCCCCCTGGCCTGGGGCAGAGAGAATGTCGGGTGTGAGAGCAGGGAGCTCTGCATCGTGGCATCAGGCCAGTCCCCAGACGGGGCGGCCCTGAGTCCCTGGTCCGGGGCAATGGGCATCAGGAGGGAGCCGGCTCGCACCAACGCACGTCTTCTGGTCCTCATCCAGCTCGTAGCCACGGGGGCAGCTGCACAGGGGCCCCGTACTGCTGTGGCTGCAGCCGTGGGAGCAGCCGCCGTTGTTGGCCTCACAGCTGTTCACAATCTCCATTTCGATCCCTGAGACCAGACCCACCACCAGGGACGTGGGACAGGGTCTGCGGTGACATCCCTGTCACCTGGTGTGGTCCCTCCCAACACAGCAGCCAACCCGGAGGCCCCAGGCCCACACTGCTAGGACAGTGGCAGCATGGAACTCCTGGGCTGGAGGGCTCAGGGAACCTGGCCCTCCTGGCCACGCCCCCAGCCCTCCTAGCCACGCCCCCAGCCCTCCTGGCCACCCCCCAGCTCTCAGCCGAAGCCAGCTGGCAGCCCATCCGGGAAAGGCTGGTACGTTTCCGGCCCCAAGCACCGCCACTGTCCACTCACTGTAGCACTGCCGGCCGTCAGCTCCCAGTTCATAGCCTGTGTGGCACACACACTTGAAGGACCCGCGAGTGTTGAGGCAGCTGTGGGCACACTGGGCCAGCCCTGTGGCACACTCATCCACATCTGGACAGGAGAGAGGAGGGGGTCTCTGGGCCTCTGGGCTGGGCGGTGCACCCCCAAGGCAGTGCCTTAGTGTGGACGGGGCCGTGCTGGGGGCCAGGGCTCAGGCGCCCTGTGCCAGGAGGAGGGCCACCCCATGCCCTGTTCCGCCTTCCCATTCTGCGGCTCCTCTGAGCGCCCTGTATCTACCAGCGAGCTTCGCGTGCGAGACCACCACGGGGTGGGCAGTGGTGGGGGGGCACGGCTGCAAGTCTGCGCTCTGGAGCCCCAGCCGCTGGCGCTCAGGCCCCGCCAGCAGCATCCAGCAAGGGGCTCTGCCTCCCCGAGCCCATGGTCCCTCGGCTGTGCCCTCCCCGCTCTAACCAGAGCCCCTGTCCAGGGCCCGGTCTGGGAGGGGCCTCTTCACTCCCGCCTGTGGTGGCAGCAGGACAAAATGCCCACCAGCTGATATTGGCATGCTATCAGCACTGGCCATCGGGACCCGAGTCCCACTGTCCCCAGCCACAGCTCGGGTCGCGCCTCCCACGATTCTCGGCATGAAGAAGTCCTCTCTCCCACTGCGCCCGCCAAGCCACCCGCACCCACAGCGACACTGGAAAGCATTTCCGAAAGGCTTCCCTGGGACCCGCTCACAGCCACCTGACAGGACACACATAGACCCCTCCCCAAGGCTGCTGCCGCAGAGCTGCGTGTCCCGGGCAAGAGGGGACACCCCGAAGTGACTCGGTGACTGTGGACACAGAGCAGCGGAGGCCGCTGCAGCCTTGGGCAGGGGGCACGCTCCAGGAAGGGGCGCCTGGCGGGGATCGGGGTGATTCTGACCTCACACGGTGACAACCACAGACACCCCGGAAGCCGACGTGTGAGAAGTCACCGGACTCGGGTGACATTGCCCCTTTTCTCTTCCTAACTCGGTTCCCTAACGAGCTCGTCTTGCTTGGACACCAGAAATGTTTGAAAGTAAAAACGCAGCCTGAGACGCTGCGTGGAGGCTCCTCCCGAGTGTGTTCCCGCGCCTCCGCCCCGGCCCCCGGCCCCCAGCAGGGCGATGAGCCCGGGTCACCCCCAGGCAGCTGGCCTCAGCGGGCCCTGAGGCGGGGCCGAGCGGGGGCGGGGCCGAGCGGGGGCGTGACCTAGGGGCGGGGCCGAGGGCGAGTGGGGGCGTGGCCGAGCGGGGGCGGGGTTTACCTTCGCAGGCCTTGCGGTCCGCCGCCAGCTGGTAGCCCGCGTGGCACTCGCAGTGCGCGAGGCCCCGGAGTGCCTGGCACGTGTGCATGCAGCCGCCGTTGCGGTCCGCGCACGGGTGTCTCCCTGCGGCCACCGCGCGGAGGAATGGAGGCGAAGGGGAGAGGTTAGGGTTGGAGGTTGGGGCTCTGGTGGATTCAGGGTGCTTGGTCCAGGGCCTCGCGTGAGGCCCCACCTGGCGCTCTCTCCCTCCTGCTCCAGTCTGACGGGCGGGGCAGTGTGTCTCCGTCCTCCCAGATGTGGGGGCCCCAGAGACACCCCTGAGAAGGCAGCGGGGAGCAAGCTACCTCCCCCTGGGCCTCTCTTCCTTGTTGGAGCCACATGCCTGGCAGCTCCCCCAGCCCCATGACCCTGTGCCACTCTGTACCCACTGCTGGCCAGGCCCCTCGGGCCTGTCCACACTCACTCCTGGCCTGGGAGCCAAGAGGCCAGCTCGGGGGTGGGGGACACTGTCTCAGCACCTGCTCCGCCCCAGACCTCCACTCCCAGATCTCCAGGAGACCCCTGAGCCTGCTCCCTTTCTTCATCAGGAAAGCCCCCTCCTCCCTCGACAGGCAGCCTGACACCCAAGGGCAAGATGCCAGACGGGGCCTGGCCAGCCCCCTCCACCTGAGGGCTGGGGCCTGGGACTCATATGCCCTGCAGAGCCCAGGGTGGGACTCGGACCTGAGGATCACGCAGGATGCCCCGGTCCTGAGCTTCCTGTCCCCACAGACGTGCAACCCCAGAGTACGGCCTAATGAGCTTCATCCCTGACATCTGCCAGGTGCTGGGCGATGCCTCCCCGAGGCCCCCTCCGGCCCCAGCAGCCCACGCAGGGAGGTGCTTCCTGTCATGCCTGGATCAGGCTGCAGGGTCCCTGGGGGTCCCAGGCCTGGCTGCCCCTCCGGAGGGCTGGCACACACTCACGGACACAGCGCTTGCCGTCCTCCTGGAGCTGGAACTCAGGCCAGCACTGGCAGCGGTGCTGGGTCGCCGTGAGCTGGACACAGTCATGCTGGCAGCCGCCGTTGCCCACGGCGCAGGAGTTTATGGCTGGGGACACGGAGAGGAGCCCTGGTCAGCCCAAGAGGACGGCACGACCGAGGAGCCCCAAGGAGCAGGGGCGGCAGGTGACCAGCTCTTCCAAGATGCTCCAGGGCCCTCAGGGGCTTCAGAGGGCGGCACTGCCCGTGTCTGGTCTCCAGCCTGGCTTCGCTTCTGGGCCACACGCAGGAGGCGCTGCACAGCCCATGGCCCTCAGTAGAAGCCGGGTGCAGAATTCTGGGGCCCCACGGAGATCCAGGGTGTCCAGGACTCAGAGGCCAAGCAAGCTGGGAGGCCCCCTGAAGGAGGTGGCAGGCCAGCGGGGGTGCCGGGGGCCCAGGCACCCCACTATCTCGGCTGTCAGGCAAGGGCAGAGGGCAGCCGTGGGCTTGCCATGGATAACATCGTGGCCTGCAGGCCCGGCCCCCAGTTCCTGGCAGCTCCTAGTGCAGCTCTGGGGCCCCACCCTTCACCTGACCTCACTCAGTCCCCACTCCTCCCGGTGGCTGTGGGGGCAGCACTGGGTGAGGCCACAGAGTCAGCGACCCAAGTCCCAGGGCTTCACGCTCAGGCACCTACAGGGCGAGGCTCTGCCCAGTCGGGGTGGCCGAATGGGTGCCCGTGGCCTGGGGATGGGCCAGGGCCGTGCCCGGAGGGGAGCTGAGTGAGGCTGAGTGCCTAAGATGGACACTGGGTCTCTGGCAGCCCCCTCGAGTCTGGCAGTGGCCTCGTGGTTAGGGAGGGGTCACCCTGCGCTTTGGAGCAAAACCACCAGAATGGGGTGCTGTCCGTGCCCCAGCAGGCTGGGACCCGGAGCAAAGCTGAGCCTTATTACTGAAAGACCGGGACTGCTGTGGGGGCAGGGATCCACGTGACGTGCCACCTGCGCTGTCACTTGCCACAGACCCCGGGGCTGCCGGCCTCCGGCTGCGTTTGGGAGGCCATTTGTTGTCCGTGTGTGGGCGCCAGGCAGGAGGGCAGGAGGTCCGGGGCAGAGCACGGCGTGGCCCAGGTCTCGGAGGAGGCTGGGGCCACACTGTCTACCAAAAGCAAGGACACTCAGAAAAAGCCCGACAGCACTCACGATGCTGCCCTGTCCCCAGCGCGGGCGAGTGGGTGGGGAGCCGGTGCTGCGAGTCCCCGCCAGGGGCCACACCAGCTGTAGTTTGGGGGACGACACCCAAAGGTGGTACTTAAGGCTTTGTCCTGGCCATACATGGCTCAGAAGGGAGGATCAGCAGACAAGGGGCCTGGGGAGAACTGAGGCAAGTAAGGGCCACCTCCCGTCCCCGTCAGCCTCCGAGTGCCCTCCCTGCCCACCCACGCCCCCGCTCTGCCCTGATGCCCTGGCACAGCTCCGCTTACGCCTCCTCTGTCCAGAGCTGGCTGAGCATGGCCTGGGCCAGCCCCACTCCCGGGCCCTGCCCGTGTTTACAGCAGCGACCTTGCTCAGGTTCGTCACAGGGACCAGAAGCCCTGCCGGGAGGGCTCGCAGAGATGGGGGCTTGGAGCCGAGGGCCGGGGGCCAGCTGGGCAGGCACTGCAGCTCAGAGGGGTCCCCGGGGGCTGCGGCAGGACCAGGAGGACGGGCAGAGCCCCGAGCCGCACCCAAAAGCAATCGGACACCAGCCCACCGGGCCCACTGGGCAGGAGTCCCAGGCAGGGAGGCGCAGGCGGAGGGGTTCCAGGCCCCCTGTGCAGCCCGCACCCTCCAAGGCCCCCTCGAGCACCCCAGATGCTCCTGAGCTGTGCACCTGGGCAGCTGAGCCAGCACCATCCTGCTCAGCCCAAGCCGGGATCCCCGGGAAGCTGGACCAGGCAGCTCAGGGAAAGGCAGGTGGTGATGTTTCCAGGCCCCACGGGTCACCCGTATCCCAGTGACCCCTGTCCGGCAGTCCTGCAACTCAGGGCCACACTCAGACCTGAGGCCAGCTGAGAGCCCACAAGAAGATGGGCGAGCAGGGGCTCCACAGCCCCTAAGGGGCTGAACGCTGACATCCCCCTCAACCCAGCCCCCAGGTGCCTGTATTCAGAAGTACAGCTTTCACAGAGGTAACTAAAGTTGAGCGAGGTCGTCAGCATGGGGCCCTGATCCCATGGAGTTTGTGTCCCTAGGAGAAGAGACACGAGGTCTCCCTCTATCTCCCTGTGAGGACACAGCGCAAGGGGCAGCCAGGAAGCGCATTCTCAGGACTGGGTTGGCTGGCACCTTGACCGTGGACGTCCAGCCTCCAGAACGGCGAGAACACCAGCGTCCGTCCGTGGCACATGTTACAGAGCCTGAGCTGACCGATCCAACCTCACACCCCAGTCTGCAGATTCCGGGACGCAGGGCCTCGGCCAGGGGACTGCGGGTCCTAATGGAGCTGGGCTGACATTCCGTCTTCTGCCAGCAGGAGCCGCCCTACTCAGGAGCCTTGGGTGTGAGCTGGAAGCTGGGCATGTAGGCGGCAAGCGTCCTACAGGGTGGGGGGCCTACTCGGCCTGTGCTGGCGGCTCTCTGCTCCTGGGGGTGCAGGCGGCAGCACCTGGACCTGGGTCGGGGGCACCAGGCACCGTGAAGGAAGCGGTTGGCAGGGGCTGGGGACAGCTGACCGCGAAGGCTCCACGGGCAAGGCCCTGGCCCGCAAGCCTGGCACGCTGGCCAGCCCGAGCAGTCGGCGAAGGGACTGTGCCGTGGCAGTCCGGCCAGCAGGGAGCCTCTCGACGGGGGGCCGAGCCCACCAGTTCCCTCTGCTCAGCCTTGGAAGCAGCCGGGTGGGTTCAGGACCGGCTCCGCAGGGTGTTGTGGTGAGTGCCCTCAAAGTGGCAGTTTCTAAATCCCACGCGTGGTCAGTGGCCACCCGCAGCCCCTCCTTCCAGGAAGCCCTCTGCTGGGGACAGCACCAGGATGGCAGGACAGGAAGGGGATGGCCTGCCTGGCTTGGTCAGGAGAAGGGACTCACCTGGGCTGTGCCCACCCCGTACCCACAGGCAGCTCGTGGGTCACCCGCTGCTCTGCTTTGTGCGTCCTGCCCTGTCACCCACTCTCTGGACAGGGCCTCCGCAAGTCATTCGTAGCCGTGCACGCGGCCGCCCACGTCCCAGAGGCGTGAGCCTGGGTGACACCAGCCCTAACATCACGGACTGCACACCCGCCAATCCAGCCCTGCTCACCGGTCCCAGGGAGAAGGCACCAAAGACAGACCCCCCGGCGGGCAGTGGCAGGGCCCAGGACCCAGGCTGTGCTGCCCGCCTGCCTGCCGGGCACCCGTCCACCTCAGGGTCAGGCACACAAAGGCTCGGACCCCGAGGCTCATACTGCAGACTCCGCCCCTCGGCCGGCCTCACTCAGGCTGCCCGGCCCACCCCCCCCTCGCACCACGCACCATTCTGCTGCCCTTTCAGCCACCGCCGGCCCAGTGAGCCCTCACCTCCCGCTGGGTTTCCGTGTCCAGCCTGGGGTCTATGGCCGCCGCCCCTGTCTTCCCTCCCTAGGTTGGGTGTGCAGCCCATCAGCCCCGGGCGCTGGCAGCCTGCACGTCTGGGGTCCTGGTCTCAGGCAAAGCCACGACTTCGCAGAGTCATCTGACAGGGCGGGAGCCGCCCTCCCTGCCTCCCAGTCCAGGCTCGGCTGCGGCCCCTGGGGCTGGGCGGGCAGGCTCCCCGGTGCGACCGCAGCCTGTGTCAGCTTCCAGGGGATCAGAAACATTTGCAGAACTGCATCTGCGGCTTTGCAGGAATGAGCTTTGCAGACAAGCCTGTGGTCTCCACATTTCTGCAGCCTGTGGCTGGGGCCGCCCCAGACACTGCCAGCAGCCGCCTCGGGGAGGGCCAGGCGCCTCCCCCAGGGTGTCCCCCGCAAGGCGCCGGGGGAAGCTCAGGCTGGTGGGCCCCATGCAGCCCCTCGATGTCCCCCCACGGGGAGACCCAGGCCTGGCTGGGGACGTGTCTGCCCCAAGGCCACAGGGCTTACCAGTGGCAGAGTCTGGAGGGAAGGCAGTGCCTGGGCACCCGTGGACATAGGAGGGCCCATCTGCCTGAGGGGAGGAGGACAGTGAGGAGGGAGGGGCGCCTGGGCCACCTTGGGGTGCACGCTGACAGCAGAATCCATCCCACAGCGTCTATCCCAAAGACCTGATGGACAGAGGGTCCCCTTCTCCTTGGAAGGGTCCTCTGCTGGTTGAGCCAGAGACATCACAATCCCCTCACACTGGCCCCAGGTGTGTCACGCGCCCTGGGGGACACAGGGAAGCATCCACGCCTAAGGCCAGGGTCCAGAAGAGACGGCCGGGCAGGTATCGTGCTGGCTCAGAACGCTGGCCACACGGAGCAGGGGGCTCCGCACACAGACTGAGGGCTGATCCCCTCGGCCATGCACGTGACGTCAGAGGAAAGCCAGAGTGGCACCCCAGGCATGTCGCCTGACCACTGGGGAAGGAAAGCCTGGCTCGGAGCCCCGAGGGTGAGATGCAGGGTGGACCAGGCTTGGGCCTCGCTCGGCCCTGCCCCTCCCACCCCAAAGCCTGGGGCACACACCCAGGAGGGCACCCTGGCAATGAAGCACCCCAAGACATCCCGCTGCTTCTGCTTCTCCTGCAGCCGGGCTGGTGGGGTGGCCGGGGCAGGACACGAGAGGTGCTCAGTGGCCTCCGGGCCTGGCCACTTCTCACGGCGTCAGGGCCAGTGGCGAAACCCTTGCTGCGAGTTCTTGCTTCTAAGAATCAAGACCTTTGTGTGTTCGATTTCCATAAGCTCTTTTGCAAAAGAGGGAGGCGTGGAGGCTGTGCATTCCCTGTCCCCTCCTTGCCTTGGAAGCGAGTTCCGCCGAGTGTTTCAAGCCCCGCTTGTGTGTTTCGAGCCCCCCTTGTGTGTTTCGAGCCCCCCTTGTGTGTTTCGAGTCCCCCTTGTGTGTTTCAAGGCCCCCTTAAAGCGCAGTCTCCTCTGGGGGCTTCAGAGATCCCTCGGGGCCCACGATGTGGCACCACCCTGAAAGCTTCCAGCACACAGGGAGCCCCGCCCCACGCTGTGGACCAATGGCCACATCCCTCAAGCTTACTCGAGCTGCTGGGGGGTGAGGGGTGGGACACCCGCAGACCTATTCCCGGCCTGCCCGCCAAGTCCCAGGAGAGCTCGCAGCACCCCTCCCCACAAGGAGATGCCAGCGGGCCGGGGGGGAGGGTTCAGAGCAGCTGTGCTCCAGCTGTGCAGACTGCCCCACAGCTGGCCTAGGCAGGGGAGGGGCACGGCTTCTACACTGATTCTTCCCATGACCCTCTGCTGAGGCCCGAGGGTGGTCTGGGCTCAGAGGGGACCCCTGTGATACTCAGACGAAGCCACCGGCTCCTCTCCAGGCCCTATACCCCAGGAGTCCCAGAGGAGAAGCGGGGAGGGTCTCACCCCGATCACTCTCTGAGCCCTCAGAGTCCCCAGCCGCTGAGCCAAGTAGGGCCCTACACTGGGCCCCATCCGGAAGCCCCTACAGGTGATCCGAGATGCTTGGCCACCTCTGCCCACCCCAGGCCAGCATGTCAAGTCCACTGCAGCCAGGGTGGGTCCCTTAGCAACCAAAAGGGACATATTAGCAAGAAGGGTGGGCTGTCCCTGGAGTAAAGGCTTCCTGCTCTGTTTGTGAGAAAGCCCCAAGAGACACCCCCTCGGCAAAGCCCAGGCCCCACAGGGAAGGCCAACGAACCTGCGCCAGTCCCAGAAACTCCCAGGAGACCTGCGGACCGGCCTGACACTGGCGGGGTATCGGCTCCCAGGAATTCCCGACACACGGAGTCCACCAACAGCCAGGAGTGCGCGGGGGTGGGGTGCGCCTGGGTGTGCCTGGGTGTGTGGGTGCGCCTGGGTGTGTGGGTGCGCCTAGGTGTGTGGGTGCGCCTGGATGTGCCTGGGTGTGTGGGTGCGCCTGGGTGTGCCTTGGTTGTGTGCGCGGGTGTACAGGTGCTGTGTGCGCGGGCGCCAGGGTGTGCCTGGGTGTGCAGGTGCAGTGTGAGCAGGTGTGTAGGTGTGCCCGGGTGTGCCTGGGTGTGTGTGCCTGGGTGTGTGGGTGTGCGCGGGTGTGTGGGTGCGCCTGAGTGTGCAGGTGCAGTGCATATTTCCCACTGAGAGTCACAGTCAAAAGAGGAAGCGACAGACGCAGGCCACACACAGCACCGGGGTGCGGGGTGGGGTGGGGGGGTGGACGTCCAGCCATGCGGAGGCTGGCACGCAGGGGAGCCGCCTCCGGGAGCAGCCAGGAGCCGGACACCAGCCCCGGAAGGCTGCAGAGAACCCGTGCCCTGGGCCCACTGCTCAGCTGGGTGCCCAGAGTTGGGGGACGGCAGGCAGAGGGGGTGGTGTGGTCCCAGCAGCCTCGTGCCAGGATGTGCAGGTAGCCCGGGCATGTGAATGTGTGCTGGGGGGCGGGGGGAGCCAGGGCCGGCAGAGGGACCCGGGACCCCTGGCACCAGACCTGGAAAGACCCTCAGAAATAATCCGGAGCCACAAATCAACACTTCCGGGCCCCAGTGCAGGCATCTCTCGGGAAAGGCCACTGGGAGGTATTCCGGTGGGGCAATGGGGTGGAGGTGGGGGGATTGGGGTCAGAGGGACACCGCTTCCCACAGCTGGCAGCTCAAGGCCACTCTCAGAGGCCACTGTTAGTCCCTCCAAAGCTCTGAAGGGGGTCCTCCCCTTCGCGGGCTGTTTACCCATCACCACCCCCGCCCCCCCCCAACCTTCCGGCGTGTCAGCGAAGGCCACTGTCAGCACAGACGGGTGACTATGGAGACAGGAGGGTGTGTCCCAGCCCCCAGCCCCTCACAGGCAAGCCACGGCGAGGAAGGGGCAGTGGGCACCCACCGCCCCCCGCGAACGCCTTTCTTCGAGGAGAAGCCTGCCCCAGAGAGAGGACGTGGGGACACCAGAGGGCTCTGAGGCCAAAGAGCC